GGCATGGAGGACTTACCAGTGGCATGGGCAAGCAATTCACCTACCCTAAAGCAAGGGGACTAAATCTTGATTTAAATAAATCACCTCAAAAGTAATGGAGAGACTACTAATATCATTAGGATGAAAGAATGATTGAGTTTTCATTGTATTAGAGCTAAAACTACATACGGTAACCACATTCTTAGAAGAATGCCAGGACAGATGGCCACCTTTAGTTGGAAAATGGCATGCACCTAAACAGGAAGGTTAGGAATTGTTATCCTTTCTTACTGGAGTCACAAATCACCTGCCTATCTTAGTCCATCTCCATGGGGAAATAGCTTAGAATAACTGCTTTATACTGGCTCCCTTTGCAGAGGTTTTGTTTACAACAAGAGCATACACAGACCATACAGTGAGGCTCCTAAAAGCCTTGCTGCAGTGAGAAACAGTGCTGCTTCTATTTACCCAGCAGTGGAGCACAATGCTATGCTGATGTATCAGCTCACGTCTCAAAAACAGTACGCAGAGACGCAGATCCTCAGGTAATACCCCAAGGTGTAATGCCCCGAGTCCTGAAGACAGCTTGGTTAGGAGCACAGTGCTACTATACTAGTGGTGCCACTTAGACCTTTGTGCTGTTCAACTTCAAGCAGCTTCAAAGCAGATTGAGCCACAAGACAAGAGGGACTTTTCTGATATTGCATTAAGAGAGTCCACCAGGAAAGTGACTGTGAAACTACTATAGTGCTCTAAATGATGGACACATTTTCATTTCATGATAGATAGCATTCCTGTACAGATTTTTGGATTCCTCCTGAAAACTGAATTGAAGGACTGGTTGTCATCAAGGCATTCTCCAACTTTAAAACCACAAGCACACACAGCAGATTGCGACAAACTAAACATGATTCCCAGGGTGCCAATCCTGTCCACAAGCAGAAACCGTACCTGGGATCCACTGACAATTTCAATCTTTTCCAGGTCTCCAGATCTGCTTCTGTTATCGAGGCACTCACAAAAATCCCATCTTCTTGTAGCTGAGGAAGGGTGCTTTGAGATTTCTGTTTAGCCAAATCATCTTTCTCAGTATCAGGCTCTTTCATCTGCTGTTCCCTCTCTGATTCAATCTCCTCATTTTGCAGAAGTGGGTTCTCTTCGTTTGTCACTATTTGCCCTACTGATGTCAATTGCACCCATCTTCTTCTAATTTTATGCATATTCCAGTTCAGCAAGAAAAGATATTTTGAGGGAGCATTTATAAATCAGTGCCAAAAGAAGAGGTTCAGAGAACAAGAAGATAAAACTGAATTTATAATATTAGTTTTACATTAGTTTTAGGAAGTAAACATGGAATGAATCGTTTGAAGTTCAAAACTCTCATCTATACTATCCCACTCATGCACTACTGAGACCACTTCTTTACGTGAACTTCTATTCCTAGCTCAAGCAAGAAAAATCTTTATGTTATTACTGTAATAAGCATTTCTGCAATAAGCTTTCTCTTAAATAATTACAAATACCTAATTTGCATATAATTCACACTGAATTCAAGTTTTGCTCTCAAACATTCTATGTAATTTCTTTGCTCTTAAGAGTCATGTCAACAGCATTGGACTATTAAAATTTGGTTAGGTGCTCTTCAGATGTCCTGCCAAATTAGTCATTAGAAAATATGAATATAATCACATTACTGGCAACTGAAAGGCACATTTGACATTACTGAAAAGAGCTACTAAATATTAAAAGAAGTTTTCTGAATGTACCAGTTATTACAGTCATTCACTGTAATGTGTATATAGTGGTTTTATCTAGAATCACTTCTAAAAATAAAACAAATATCCTTGCTTCCCAAAAAAGAACTTTTTCATGAGATGAAACAAATGCATCCAAAAAAAACACGTAGTGAAAGTGCTCACAAAAAGAGCTGAGATACAAAACATATATTTTAAGTTTATTCTCTGCTACTCAGGCTCATGAGCTGTCTCATGAGCTTAGATAACAAAAGTGTCCCGCCTTTATCTTGTTTACATTCAAAGCCAATTTAAACTTCTGGTCCTCATACTCTAACAAAAAATCCCAGTTTGGTTCAACTTATGATAAAGCACTTGCATTTACTGTACCCTGTAAGTTTTTTTGTAGCCAAGATAGCTTTAGTCCTACACAGCAATAGACCATGGTGAAATTAAGCATTATAATTGAAAGAATAAGACCATGAATGCACACCTTGCATGTTCCTTTTTTTCCATCTGCAATGGCTTTCTAACATCTTCCAGTTTACCTTTATCTTTACTTGTATAGGATCCAACTAAAAAGGAGTTAAATGGAACTATGTGTTTGGGTTGATTCAATCTGGCTCTTCGGGTGGCAAAGTCATCCTTTTCTAAATCAGGAACTCTGCTGGTTGCTTCATCTTCTGAACCAGAATCCTTTCCTTGATAATGTGTCATGAAGGGATTGTCCTTGCGAAGGATGATGTCTGGGATGGTTCCGGTGTCTTCACATATCAGCTTTTTACTGACACAGAGCAAAATTAAACAAAGCTCTTGATACACCAGGAGAGGAGAGGGCAGTGCAACACTCATCTCCAGGTCAAAAAACAAGCACAGTTAATCGAATATGCTCCAGGCAGCTGTTAGACTGGGCAAAGCCTTGCTAGAAATAAAACTTATATACTAGTAAAAAATAGACAAGGACTTTACACAAAAAAATCAGCATGTTGGACCTTTACTTATTTTAGCTATAGCTGGAAGAACCAGTAAGTACTAGTTTTAACATACTAGATGCAGTGAATGTAGCACTGTAAATGGCAGTATTAAACTTCTTGAACACTTCAAACAAAGAAAGAGATTTGATGCAAATACTTGATGCCTAGAAAACGCTGCTGAGTCCTGAAATATCAGACATTTCTTCTTAATAGCTCTATTTAAAAAAAACCCCACCAGAGTAATCACTGAGGCTATCTGCCCTAGTATTCTTAACTGCTTTTCTTCTCACACACCTCCACGCTTGATTCTTTTCCTTATTAACCACTCTTTCCCCTGGAATAACCCCTTTATGCCAATGCTGACATATAGTAGCTACAATAATAGCACCAGTACACCCATGATACCGGCATGCTGGAAAACATTGAAACCTGCCCTCATCAGAAATGCAACTGCTATAAACATGGCCTTGCTGTTACTGAAGATTACGACAATAAAGACCCTTGACAGCTGGTACCCATAAAGATCATCTTATTTTAACTTGTAATGGTCAATACTTTTATGCAAACTGAAAAGAAAAATGGCAAGAGATAGGCGACTCTGACATGTAAAAATCCAATTGATATTTTAGAAAGTTGGGCAGCAAGTAGTAGAATGTTCCATGCAGTACTTTTCTAGGCATTTACTCTTTCATGTAGCACACCTTGCTATACAAAGCAAAAAAGAGGGGATCACAAAGGATTAAACAGACTGGCATTAAGAAATCAAATCTAAACAGCTCAGGGATTGCTTTGAGTTTCTCTGCTATTTTAAATATCAAGAGTTATACTTAGCTGGTTTTTAAAACATTTTAAATCCCTGCAAGCCCACTGCATATGCCACTTATTTTACATCTCCAGATGTCCTTTCAAAGTACTGTTCAACAGTTGCTGGAGAAACTTATGGAGAAGCCATAAACCGTCCCTGACAGGCCAGCTTGGCTCAGGCTCAGAGGACAAAAAACTGCCTGCCTTTGCCTTGTTATGCTGCAACACACAGGATCTGTTAGCGATGTAGAGAGCATGGTCTCAAATTAGCTAAAGGCAACTTTTTCCTTGGATCTCTCTGAAAGATCATGATTTCATTTAAGGCAACAGACAACACTGGCTGATGGCACTTCAAATGGAACCATTGTCCCTCTTCCTCATGAGCATCTCTTGTGCACAACAGCTTCAGAAACAGCTGGTTGACCACATGATTATTCAGTAAAAACTGCTGGATTTTTCAGTCTTATGCCCACCAGTGCTACTGAAGTTTGAGAGCATCAAACGCAGCATTTCTGAGAGCAGTGTTTTTGGCAACGAAGAACTATTGAGTTATAATATTCAAAAGTGCAACTAGGAGTCATTGTAATGAAAAACTTACAGCTTTTAGTATGTAACTAGACTTCAGTAATCAGTTTCTAGGTTGAGAGTATTTTCCATTCATTTACATTTTGTTTTTAACGGAATCAGAGATTAGCTGTGACATTTTGGGGTCTCTTGAATCAGTTTGTGATGGTCTCAAGTGTTTTTTAAGGCCAGTTTACCATGGAGACAGCAAAGACTCTAGATTTAGTTGAAAATTGTTCTTGCACACCCTGCCTCAGCCCTTGCAGAAGTAACCTAGGGGTCTTTGCTAGAAAAACAGGTGCTTCCAAAGTGTCAGACTGCAGGCATTTGCGCTCCCTGAAGCTAAGTCTTACACAGGCTTGTGGATCCTTATACTGCATTTCAGAACAATGAAAGGGGTTTGCATGCTTATGCTCTGTCAGGGTAAGAGTCCACATCCCTTTTGCAACAAACATATCATAAAGGCTTGCTCACATTTCCCTCTTACATTCCCTTTCCATCATCTCTTACAACACACTTAATTAACTTCTTTTTAGGGTGCCTCCATGAATCTGATCCTTACCTTTCAAATACAATAAAGTAAGTAAGAGATAGATGCAGGCAATAAGCAAGCAGGATCACATATCAATAAAACAACATGCAATAGAGATAATACACTCCTTTGGGAAGGAGAATAGCATGCATTTGTATAGCCTCTAGTTCAATAGAACACGCTAGAGCAATGGAGATAAGTACTTAAGACTCCAAGCAAAAAATACATTTGCCTACAAGCTCAAATCATTCCTGTTCAGGACTCAGAAAGGTCCCCAACTGAATTTCAGCTTTAGGAACAATTAGATGCCTTGTAGAATGCAAAAGTCACAGTGGCTGTCCTCCAGAGGTCAATATGTTGAGATGAAACAGCCTTCTCAGAGGAACTGGAAGAAAACTGACAATCTCAGGTGAAAAAAAAGAGAGGCTGGCATCTTAAAAAGATGAGGGAGTAAGAGGAGTGAAAGAAAAAAAAAATCAGAATACAAAAACAATAGAGACTGAGAATTGCTCAGTATCATTACTGCATGGAAATTTGAACTTGATGCCAAGAAGCGAGAAAAAAATGAGAGGTTCAAAGAACAGGGAAGAGTAAGACGACATTAAGAAAGATGATTAAATGCTGCCCTGTATCCAAAAGTGTTACTACTAAATTCTTCCCTTGTCCTTAAACCATTATTCTTCCACTTACACACAAAAATAATTTTCCTTACAGACCCCTGACTCCAGTGCCTTTTCTGCTGTGTCTTTCTTCAATCCCCAGAAGCAGGCTCCTACTTCACTACATTGAAGCTTGGGTTACAAAGCTCTGCTCTTTCACCCTTAGCTGGGACAGAAAACCATCAGCTCCTCCTTCTTCCAGCTGTCAAATTCCACAAGTTGCTTCCACTGAGAGTAAGGAAGAAAAATGACTTGTTATTTCTCCTCCCTTCTCCTTCAGTCCTGTCAGGACAACGATTGTCCAAGGAAAGAGAAGACCTGAATTCCTGCCAAAGAATCACACATTTGATCATACATGCTTCTTTCACCGACATAAAGCCAGCAGATCAAGCACAGGGTTGGAAAATGGACTCTCAGTGTGGTGAGCATCCTCCAAATGCAAACAGAGCTATTTGTTGTGCACTGCACTGATAAACACAAGCTATTGGTACATTTTACTCCATATTACTATATTACTACTATTAATTCTACAGCCTTGGGACTTGGAATGGGATTATGCTAATACCCCTACTGTTCATGGATTCCCAATCGACTAGCACTAATTGAGACTGAAGGACTAATATATGCCAGATAGTTCACCTACATTAATATCTGACTTAGTTAAAAGTCATACTCCACAAACACACACAAGCATTGGTTCAGTGCAGCTTGACAACAGTGAAGCAGACCTGAGAAGAGGACAAATGACAGCATATATACTGTGACTGTTTCATCTGCATATGGCACATCTGTATGTGGCCGCAGACAAGCGCCACTGTACCTATGAATGAACTGTACCACATATGAGCTGTACTTCTTACTACCGTATTTCAAAGCCCAGACTGCAGATCTGAATCTGCTAAACTACTCACTGTTAAGATTTCACCCCACAATCCAAAACTAAATGTTTTGGACAGGAGGACATTTGGACACTTAGCCTTTAGCCAAACCATTTTGATCCTTTATAAGAGCCTAGTCTTCTGACATATTGGCTAAAACCCTGCTTTGGAGGTCATCCCCACGACTAGAAGTGATTTTTCATGAGGATCCAATATCAGATGATGGAAAGGGTGATGAGCCTATCATTCAGCTCTTCAGTTAAAGAACGGGAAATAACCAAATTGAACAACATCAAAAAATAAATAACACAGGTAATAAGTGAGTAACTACAGATATTCCATGCCAAAGTCAGTCAAATTACGACTGCTGAACTATGCTTCCACTGGTATATGTGTTAACAAGCACTGTACTTTTATAGTTCCTGCCATTAAAAATAAAATATCATTTATTAACACAGCTAAAAATATTAACCACCTAAAAAGTGTGGTTCACCATCCCACCAGCAACAAGTAATATGAATTTCTGAAACTTTTACCCAAACAAGGCATTTTTAATGAATATTTATATATACTTTTATTAAATACAAGAAAGCATTAGATGGAAGGTGACAAGTAATCTGGGTAGTAGTCTTCCTGGAGTCTGTTTACATTATGCTGTAAGATAATATCTCAACACAAATGCAGTTAGCATCATATAACTCCGCAATCCACAGCTGCCACATCACAAGGTTTTTCAGACCAAGACTTTCACTAGCAATTGTGAGTGCTTAGCGACTGGGTTTTTGCTAGGAGATGTGAAATACAGCGGATCAAGGAAGCCCACACTTCAGTCAATCCTAAAAACGTGAAGCGTGCACAATTTCTCACACTGCTGGGCTAACCTGCCGTAGCGCTGGGCTGCTGACATGACCTTAATGCCAGCTTGTTCCAGTCTTCTTAACTTTCTGATCTCTTCCGTATCTTTCCCCTTGGGTGCTGATGTTTCTTTTGCACTACATGAAGGAGACCGGTCTACGGAGTTTTCTTCACTTTGATTCAAATTTAATTGATTTTTAAGGGAGCTTGCCTCAGGAGCCACAGAGCACACTTTCTCCTTTTCACACAGTCCCGATGTTTCATTCAGTTCTTCTTCTATGGTTTCAGGGTGAGGTTTACTACTGAATTATACAAGTTAGTTTAATACAGACTGTGCCTAAAACATATACACTTGTAAGTACATTTTGCTGATATCAAGATGCCAAAGGATGAATTCTGATGAATAATCAGGGAAAATAATTATGCTCTTTAATGGGAGTTGCTTCTTAGGCCAAACCACAAGCTAAATATCAGCTGACAAAACCAACATGCAGAAACACATAGTCACAACTATATAAACCACACTAGTGTGCAGAACACAACACACAAATAAACTGATTTTACAAAAAACACAGCAAAAATATTATCTATTTTGATTAAATACATCAAACATTAGTTATAAGTATCATTTGTCAGTGAGTAACTGTCTTGAGAACTGAAACAGATCATTCAGAACAATTTTTTCCAGCCTTGGGTTTGAGTCAACATCCATGGTACTTGTATTAACTGACATCTTGTCAAACACAAGTTATACATTGCACTGTATGGTAAATAACAACGTCAAGACAGTGATTTTCTACTCATCACTTTTCTCCTACCAATTGTTACAAACTATTTATTAGTACCATATCAGCAAGAGATTTATTACAGTTATCATCACTGAGGAAGGGAGAAGCTGGACAGGCCAGTCTTACCTGAAAGGTCTGTCTCCTAGCGGTGAGGTCGCTGTGCTCCAGCTCTTTCGGTATTCCTCTCGCTCAGCTTTCTTTTTCCGAAGTGGAGCAGGTACATAGAAAGTCTGATTACTCTTGTTCGGAAGGTACTGGTTAAAAGGCACAGCTGATTTAGGTTCACCGTGTGAGGTCCGCCTCGCCAACATATCATCTTTTTTCACATCTGGCATCTTTCTGTGTGGCAGGTCAGTTTCTGAGTCACTTCCTCTCCCTAGTGAGGGAGGAGAAAAAAATTTCCCCTTATTTTCACTTTCATCCAATTGTTTGGGTTTTTTTAAAATTATAACTCAGAGAAAAAAACCACCAAAAATTACATTTAACCACTCTTACTTGCATTTATATTTTACAGTCAGTCACTGAAGGTAGTAGCCACAACATCTATACAGACAATAAACACTTTTTTCCATCAATCTCCGAAAAACTCATCTTCAGCCACAAGTCACATCAAAAAATCTCAGGGTCAGACTAAGCCAGACTTGTCAGTCACAGAGGACAGATACAGAAGCTTAACTGACTAAAGCCCAAATGACTCCTAGTTGTTCATATGGGTATGCCTGACCTGATTTGCATTCTTATATGTGCCTAGCACAAGCAGAAGCAAAACACGGCTGCATGTAATATAGCTGCAGAATGGCAGGAATATATGGGTGTTTCTACACACAGCAATTTGAACACACACAGCATCAGCTATGGTCAAGATCTAAGAATAGCATCAGCTGCTATAAACCAGAAAACTGGGATGGTCTCCCTCGTCAGTTGCCTGGTCAATCATTCTAGCACACTGCAAAACAGAGAGACTTGATCCCCAAATGGAAATGCGTGAGGAGAGGGAAGGGACCTCAGGATTTAGTCAGTACAGCAAAGACTGAAAAATCCTTACTGGTGAAGAAATAAGGTGACAGAGAAAAATCAAGAGTTACAGAGAACAAGATGTGAGACAACAGAGCTGGGTGACTACTTGATTTTGTTCAAACAAACTAAGCTTCCTGATATTTACAACCCATTTAAAACACTGAAATCTAGGCAAGACTTTTCTGACTTGAAAACTAAACTCCCAAATGGTAGGACAAATACCCTAAAGAGCATTTGCAGTGTAGAATTGCCCTCGTAGCCATTTTGGAAGCCACTTCATAGACATTCACTAGATTCCCTGCACCATCACAAGCCTTTTAAAGTAATTCACAAAGAAGCTATGCAAATAATTATCTCTCAGCGGTGTAACATCATCACAGGCCCTGGTCTGAAGAGTGAAACAGAGCATGTTCAGCTATTTGTCCCACCAGCATTCATATCTTCTCTGAGCTTTGGAGTATTGGATGTCTCTGGTCCTTGGCCCCTTTGCAACACTTGCATGTGCAATAGCTGTTCCGCCTTTCCAGGGTGAGGGGAAGCCACACAGGTTGTGTCCTCTTGCTAATTCAACACACTAGTAAATTACTAGCTAATTTACTGAGCTACCGAATGAACAACTGAAAACAATGAAGTCATAAAAATCACAAGTAGTTTGTGTATAACTCAAAGTGGGGGAAGCAAAGGAGATCTAAATATGCTAGGAATGTTATTTGCAACAAGCTTTTGCAGCAGATTGAGTTATTAATTGTTTGCTTGGAGAGGGATGAAGAAGAGTGAAAGGGAACAGTAAGAAAAGATATGACAAAATGGAAATGAACTAGTTAGGCAAAAATCACAATGCCCTTTTTTTTTGCCAGGATTCTTTTGCTTGAACAATTTTCTTTAAGAACTTACGATAACTAGCACCGTGATTGGTAAACTGAGTCTATGTTGAAACAAAAAGGGGAGATATGATCACAGAATCATGGGTATCTGAGGATAGCTGAGGTTTGAAGAGATGCAGTATCATTAGCCTGAGCAAGGCACAGAGGAACTAAAAGAAAATGAAATTTTATTTCATTTAGCAATATATTAGCAAATGTTATTTGCTATTCTCTTTGCTTTTGACTTTGTTCTGGTGTCTATTTTTGTATCACATGAAAACCAGTATTGATCTGGCAGACAGAAATGCTGGAATAGATAACCACAGTAGCAGAGGAATTAGAATACATTCCTCTCCCTCATTACTGATGTGCCTACAAGCATCCCCAAGTTGAGTACTTCAAAGACAAATAGCTTCTTTAATTATTCATATTTTACTCACGAAATTATTTTCAGCTCAAATTTGCAAAAAAAGCACTGGAAGCCAAAGTACCAAATGGAAATGCAGCTGTGCTCTACATTTAGAACCTTAAATTTGTTGTTCTGCATTTCCAAGTAGAAGCAGCACCACAGAGTTTCCACAACCAGTAACAAGCAGTTATACACCACAGACAAATACAGATCCTTCATACAAGGATCCATACACAACTCTTGGCCAAGCAGAGGATTTTATTCATTGGCAACTCTAGAAGCAGGTCAGTCTGCAATTCTACTGTGTTTTAAATAAACTGCTCTACTCTACCACTGGTTCTGTTTGCTTTTTTCCAAGGGGCAGGATCTGCATATGACACCAGAGCAGTTCCTCAACAGTGAGACTCATCACAGATCGCATTTGTGAAGGCAGCATTTCTCACTGCCTCCACCTAAACTAATCATGACTTTAGGATCATTTAAGTGATCTACATTTGTTTTTTTTCTCCTAGAAGTGGAAGGAATAATAGTTTAGTTTATTATTTGGTTTATAAAACTCCGATTTGAATGGAGAAAGAAGTAATGAAAGCAGAACCTTTTGCATAAGAATCATAGAATCTTTTAGGTTGGAAAAGACCTCTAAGATCATCAAGTCCAACATAAATTATTTCTATCAAAAACTACACGCAGCTGAGTGATACACTAGCCTTCTGGGGCCACAGGAAGAGGTTCAACATGAAAGAGGTCAGCCAAGTTACACCCCACCTGGAACTGTTGGAGGAGACAGCTGTGAAGTTATGTCAGCAGTAAGAAGGGAAAATGGGACACAGAAAGTGCTGGCTGGACAAGTCATACGTGTGCACACAGCATCTGCTCGCATCCTGGATACAGTTAAATACTAATTTTTAAGAACAAACTTCGTATGCTTTTATCTTCTTTTGTGTTTGTTACAGACTCAAGAATGTGACAAGACAGTATGTCTTAGCTGTGGCAGAAAAACACAAAACCTTTCTAAAATCTGCTAATACAGCAGAAGATGATAGGAAGCAGCTACAGGACAGATGTAACTGGCTGCCTACCAGCTCCAAGTAAGCAGGGACACAGGACACCTATTGAGCACCCAGGACAGAGCAAGACTTCTTGATTAGGACTTGTGAGATGTTCCTATTTGCCAACACCACACTTGTCTCATTTGGGAAGGCAGAAAAACATTTTATAATGCAGAACCTGTGCTTTGAAGGGCCATGAGGCTGTTTCAGGGAATCAGCCCTAGTAGCTGGTTCTGGATGGTAAACCAGTAACAGCCCAAATACCACAGGCCACTCAAAGCAGATCTTAGCTCTGATTTTCCCACAGCTCTTTCATAATTCTACATACCAGCTCTCCCTGCCAGCTTTCCAGTTCTAAGGGGTTCCCCATCATCTCAGGCAATCTCTCATGTGTCCGGTTATGATTAGCACCGGTTTCTTTCACAGTGCCAAAAGCAGTATGAACATCTGGTTCCTAACAAAAGGTCCTTCTGTCTTTCCTTTTTTGTATTAAATAAGTAACATTACTACGGAGAAGTGATTCATGTGTGCAACACAGCTTCATCTGATGATGAAATTTGACTTATTTATCAGTTCCTCAGGAATGTAACTGTGCAGAGAGAGCCTCAATCATGCATCCTTTTGTCCTGAACCAGAATCCTGCTCATGACAGGTAACCTAAGAGCATGCTCCACACCTACCCTAAGCAAATCCTTCTTCATCCAGCATGCTGTGTTTACAAGCTTCTGGAAAGCTCTGGGAATCAGAAAAGAAAGGCAGAAAAGCAGCACCCTTCTGTACTCCTAGAGCTGCATGTTCTCACATGAATGTGTACAAAGATGGCCACAGCTCTGATGCTGGGAGCTATTAATTTACCCAATTTTCTAAATATCATGAAAACAAATACGACATTTGGTAAAGCACTGTACATCTGACTTCAAAACTTTGTCAAGCATCAGACATTCCCAAGATATTTCTATGTCATTTATCTGCCCGGAGTTTACTTAAGCAAACATTTTATTCACTACAATATTTTCCTTGTTCCTGCAATTTTATTTCTTACTCTAGCCTAGTTTATAAACTAAAATGAGTCTGCATAACATCCTCTTACACTGTAACCCAGAAAAACACTCTTCCCATCATAAAATTACAGTGCAATGATGTAACTCATTTTCCAATGCTACACTATCCTGAGTCAGATTTCAGGTAAGTTGTTGGCAAAGTCATCTACACCTCAGGGAGCACAAATCAGCACTCACAGAAAAGTTCTCCCACTGGATTAGCCCGGTTCAGAGGCAGTATCCAGCTTCTGAATGACACATTTATTCCAGAAACTTTGTCTCTATGTCACAACATTATTCACGTGCCGCACTGTGACTGGTACTCACCATCACTGCTCCCTCTGAGCACTACATCTGGAGATGGTGTCTGCTGCGAGCGGGAGCCAAAGGAGTCCAGACTGTCAAAGGAATCATCTCTGCCGTGGCGAGGTGGGGAGAGGGAATCACTGCGTTCAGAGTCCCAGCAGTCTATATAACCACTGTCACGAATGCTGCGCTTTGGGCTCTCAATATCCTCTGTTTCCTACGTGGAAATATCCATTACGCATCAGACAGCAAAGCATCTTCCCAAATACTAAAGATCTCCTCCCCAAAAAAAAGGGTTTCCTTGATTTTTGCCCCTTCTTCCCTTCAAAATGAAAGTGCAAGCTTGCAATAAATCCCAATTTTATGCTGATTAAGAAGAAACCACTCTCACTGGATTAGTACAATGAACTGAGAAAAAGTTCCAATAGGCCAGTTAATAAACCGATCAAAAATGAAAGCAACCTGAACCTTGACTTGTCGTCCACAGTCCATGGCACAGGCAAAGGCACAACAATTTTAACATCGTGCCTGCATCAGGTTTAAGTCTGCTGCTTTCCAAAAGATTCCCCTCCTCCCATTGCCCATCTATTGTATCTGGCCAGGACACCAGCAGACAGCATTTGTTGTTGCTGCTTCAGCTCAGCAAAATAATAAAGCAGTGTGCCCCAGCCTCCCTCTACCTTGAAGAGAATTCCTGTTATGAAAGAGGGATGTCTTTCTCAAGCAATCAGCAATGAAAAATATGCAAAATGCTTTTCCCGATGCCTCAGAAGAATTCAGTTGTGCTCTTTACTCTTTGCCAGCTCCTGGCTCTGGAGGATATGAAAGCACTTGTAGCTGACCCACATGTTCAGAGCAGGGAGAACAATGGTTGTCTTTGACAGCCCTGTGATTATAAATTCTTTCCAGTGCAAGCAGCACATACTAAAACACTGAAACTCCAGCAGAGGGAAAGGTCAATAGAAGCCATCCTCACCCTTGAACTATAATAAATCCCTTGTTTTAGAGAGCGTCCTAACATTAATTAAAATCATACAGACTGAGAAAAAACAAAAATAACTAAGTTTATTCAAAGATAAATTTGTTTTTTTCTCCCCCGACAGTAAGTAAAGTCGGAGATGTGGGTGCCATTATCAGACTGACATTTTGTGACCCAAAGAGGCTGGAATGTGATTTTTTTTTTTCCCAGAAGCATTTGAATATTAATTCCTAATTAAGAAGCACCCCCTGCTTACCATTAGCTGAAGCACAATTGCTATGTTGAGCACAGCTCCCACTGTCCTTAACTGCTAAGGGTTTACCCGTCACCAGTATCACCAAGGAGAAGATCAATCAGGAATATCACAGGGTTTGCTGGAAAAGTGATGGAGGGAGGAGAGCCCTACAATAATACACCAACACTCCCATGCTGAAAAAGAGGGAGGCTTGAAGCGAGATTGAGAGATCAGACCAAATGTTCTGCAGACTTTTCAGGAAGAAGGCTTAATTAGTGCCACTCGCTACTAATCTGCCAAAATACCACATTAAGGGCAGTGGCAAAGGTCGCCTAAGGCCAAGCTAAACTGTGGTAATGCCATTAAGTAACCTCACTGCAAATAGAAGTGAAAATATTTTCTAAAAACAAATAAAATGCATCTAAGTTGTAACCAAATCCTATGTAATTTCCTTCTTCAGTTCTGCTTAGTGAAGTAAAATATTGATAGAAACAACAGACAACAAAGACCTGTCTCCCTGAAATCTTCATGAATTACACACATCCAAGAACAAATCTAAAAATCCTATCAAAATCCTGTTTGTGACATGATCCAAAAATCTTTTAAAAAATCCAAATTCCCTAAATCCACTCATCCCTTCATACCAATCAGCTATTCTCAATCTTTAGGCACATTTCCATTTTTCTAAATTACTGTATTTGAATGACACAGAACTGCTCAGCAGCTACAGGGTCTTAAACTTGGGCAAAAAGCCCCAGCCTGCATTCACTATCTATCAGAGTTTGAAAACAGACCAATTGTAAACTAATGAGTTCTGCAGACCTTACTTTCAAAGGCCTGTTGATGTTAATTTTGCATGTCGCTCACTAGGAATTAGGAGGCAGGCACCAGGATAGGATCCTAGACTTCTGTAAACATGTTCTTTACAGCCTTTCCCTTGGCAAACACAATGCCGTCACACAGACGGGTACTTGTCCTGCCTTGAACAAATGTTATCTCCCAAACATTATCAATGGGAAAGTGGTTATCTGTGGGACAGATAACACCACAGCATGACACAAAACAGCACATCAGTCTTTCATATTGTCTAATTAAAAACACAGTATGTCACCGAGTGGCAGTAGAAGCATGACTGTCAAATATAAGATGCATTTCTCCAGGAAGTTCCACCCACTAGATATAATCAAAAAGCCATGGATCTTTTGTCATTGTGAATTTCTAGTTTAAAAGAAAAATGAGTACTCAAATAGTTAAAGAAATTAAAAACAGAGTTGCATGAATAAAATAGAAATGAATAGCCCCTTCAATATGAGAAGTAAAAAAAGATGAGTCTGAGGCAACTTACATTGGAGCTGTCTTTTGATTTGCTAATTAAAAAAGGAGAGCAGAGAGGATTTACAACAGAAAGACTAAACCAGACTGAATTTATGGTTGATTTAGTTACTAAATTCTGTGGAAAAAATACCAGTAGAGAATGTGATAAAGTGTCTTTTCATCACTCGAGCTCAGCTATAAAGAACATCAGAGTGTTGCACAGCATGATTAACATGTTCTATTTTACAACCAAATTCTCTTCAAATGCAGTAACAGACAAACCCACAATTTCCAGTGGGAAATACTGCAGGGACATTGGAGTAGGGAGGTGATCCCAAAACAAGTCACGACGGCCCTCATAACAGAATCACCTAAACAAAACTTTTCAGGACTGCAAAGTGCTCTGTTTATGCATTAAAAGAATATATAGCTTTCAGCTTTTATGAGATCTTTACTCTTCTCCTAGCTCCAAATCTGCAACAAGTCAAGTCCCAGCCTCTTTCCTTTGGCCTTGATTCACAGTGCTCCGCAATGCCCAGCCAGGTTCTCCATTGCCATGAGCTCCCTAGAGAACACTGCCTTTAAGCCCCAGCCTACTTCATCCCACAAAGGGGCTCAAGATAAGACCTCTAAAGTGCTCTGATGATTAGTTCCACAGGTAAATATCATCTGGAAAAAGAGGAGCCTCTTGGTGCGAGATTAAACATTAAAAAATAAACCACAATACCATGCAGCACTAACATTATAACAACCTGTACTTTGGCAATTTTTCTGTGCTAGCCCCCTTGTTTGGCTTTGTTTCACCCTTCTGACTCTTTGGAGTGCAGACTGCTCCTTCCCTGCATCTTCTATTTTGTAAACAACTCAAGTATTAACTTCATTTTTTTATTGCTTAGGCTCAGTCACATCGCTCACGAGTGCCAAAGTCCCAAGTGATTAGTGCAGGTCATTAAAATGAAGACTAAATTAAATTTCTCCAGAGAAGCAAGATGTTCTCTCTTCCTCTCCATTTTTGCTTGAGTTTTCACAGGAACTGGGCGCACAAACAGGGATTTTACCCATCTAGTTAAGGTTCTCTGCTGTCACCAGGATATAGAAGCTGCTATCAGTCAGACAAGTATTTCTTCCTCTCCAGTGGGAATCTGGTGCTGGCCCTATGGCATCCCTGAATGGAGAGCTGCAGTTGGTGAAGATGCAGTAGCACAGAGCTCGAGGAGAGTGAAGTCCAGAGATTCTCCCACGGTCCCCAAACCCTACTGCCTGTGGCGACACAGCCGTTACATGCCACGGGGAGGAAACAGCAGGCGTGAAGCTCTCTGTGGACTGGAGAATCTATCTACGTGGCCTTTCATGAGCACTATGTCTGACACATGCAATGCTAACATGTGGTGATGCCATCTTCTTACAAGCTGCTCCTTGCCCCTTCCATCCCCAGGGAAATGCATTCTTGGTCATCAATGCTAAACAACCTGATTCAAGGTTCAGGGCATGCTGGAATGCTCAACCAGAAGTCCCCAAACTACCCTAGAGCAATCACAACTTTTCCTTTCCAACAGAGCTCAGTTCATAAACCACCAAATATGATTTCAGCCAGAATTTAGAGCTTGGCAAAACACAGATTTATCATAACTATATCCCTGGTGAAACATAATCTCCTTCCCTTCCCCTTCAGCTTTATTTAGATACTTCGGTTTGATGCTTTATGTTGCAACATAAAACCAAAAAAGTTGCCCATGAGACTGAATGTTTTAAAGAGGAAAAACTCTGCTCTTGCAAGTCTGACACCTTCCTTTTGAGTCTCAGCTCTTCTAGCTGAAACTTGGTGTCATAAATGCAAAAACTCACACCAAAACATATGGAAACTCCAGCCCCCTCCTCTCATATTGAGCAACAAACAGTTTATTTATGGGACTAATAGTTTGAGCTAAATTTCCATTCCCAAAACACAACAAAAAGATACCTTTCTCATTTGTGCCAGGAAACCTTCAAATTCCTTCAGGTTCAGGGTTGATCCGCTATATGACGTGCAGCTGTTTGCCGCTTTCCCTAGCCAATAAATGGTGACTAATACCTGCAGAAGTTAATAAGAATTAATTTAAGCCATCTACACAGTCACTTAGCTAAATTTACTTCCCTTCAGCATCCCTGATTTATTCTAAACTGCACAGTGGCACAAGATTTTGCTATAAATCAGAATTTAAAGGGAAGTGTCTGTCAAAGGTTAAACATAAATACATCAGGTAACTGTGAAAATTTAAACAGTCCTACACAATATGTAACTTAACACATTATCTCCCTGGTATTTTTAATAAAAATAATACAACTGTCATGTCTGCCTGGAAAAGAAACAGAAAAAATGAATCTGAATAGAAAAACTAGACAAATATATTTGAAACTGTCTAGAAGACACATAAATATATGTTTGTAAACCCAAAAAGAAAAAAATCCCTAAAGAGTACTGATACTAGAAGTCATTAATTAAAACCATTAAGACCAAGGGAATAAACAAAACATCTTGAATGAGTGCCTGCCTAAAAAACATTTCATATGTGTGCCTGTCTATTTCAAGGAGAGAAAAGGAAGTCTCATTTTTAATCATCCTAATGTAATTAACTAGATGATACAGGAACATTTACTTCTTGGCTTCTGCTAGCTTATTACAACAACTTGTTATAACAGCTTAAGAAATGCTTAATAAAGAAGATGAATAAATAAAGATTAATCAAAAGCCATGAGTATCTGGTTGTTTCTATCAGACTACAGGGGAAAGAGTTAGTGGTTTCATTCAAGTTCTGACTTGCTGCTTCTTCACAACTCAAAAGTCATTTCAAAACTAGTGAGGGGAAAAGGCCAAGAATTGCTCTTGCAAGTGTTTATATACCCTTTCACTCCTTTAAGTAGCAAAGAAATCTGCCCTGACACTGCTGGTGTTGCACACATTTTAGGAAAGGAGAAATTAAGATGCTTAGGATGGTCAAATCCAACAACTCCAAAAATGCTGTTGTTTACACCATACAGAGAAAGTCCTTCTCTGCACCCACATATGCGCCTACACTTAAAGCAATGTCTTTAATGGCACCTGTGCAGCAGCAATTTGGACTGGAAACTGATCATCAAAAGCAATTCAGTTCAGTGTTTTGCACTGGACAAAAATGACAAACCATCACCTCAGAACTTAGGGCTTTTTCTCATTTAATGCTCATTATTTTGGCATATTCTGTGACAGTGCAAAGTATTTAACTGCAGAACAAATAGGAAATATTTTGATGTGGAAAAGATGTGCAACCAATAATAAATAATAGTTGCCATTAACTGTATCAAAAAAGTTACATTAACTGAAATATAGTATTTTATGTTCTGATGGGACAGGGCCATATACTTCATACTATATAGCAAACTAAAGAAAACAAGACTAGCAAAAATCCCAAGGGGGTATTGGGAACAGGCATCTTTCAGACTCTTCTTCCCTAAAACATGCACCCATATTCCTCCAGTGCTTCCTCCTCAAGCAATATATGCTGGACTTTTCCCATTGACTTGCTCTAGCATCCCCATTTTTCATTTAAGTGTGATGTCCAAAATTATGCAGCACTACAGGTGAGGCCCTGTCAGAAAAGGATACTGTGTATGACATACAGATCCTCAGTTTAAAAACAACGGTGGTGCATAATGTAAAATATGTATTTTATATATAAATATAGTTTATATTTTTCTTTAGTTTATAAATAGTATACATGCCATAAAATATCTGAGTAACACTTTTAATAAAGTTCAAAAATTTTCCCCTTGTTTTAAAATTACATCCAAATCAATACTACTGTGCTGAGTGAAAGGAGGTGGTTTCGCTAGTACTGATTTTTTTTTTTTTATCTTGAAACAACCTTTATCTGAGCTTTTATCCTTCAACTAGCACTACTTGACAAATTTATGCAAAGAATTCTTACAGTATATGTTCTCAAGTTAAATGATAACACTTGCAAATATAGTATTTTGGCAACCAGGAAACTGTCCAATTCATTTTGCCACTTAGTTCACTGATGAAGGATGTGGTATTTTTATTTATTTCTGCTAGCATTTAATCACTTTCTCTCTTCTTCCCTTCTTTATTTGAGAGAGGAAAAAACTGGATAATTTCACATTTGCAAGCAATTCCTACTGGCTGCCAGCCAAGGTTGCAGGATCATGCACCTGGAAAGCATATATTGCCTAGAAGCACATCATGGAAGATATTTTTGAAACTTTACCTTTAAAACAATACATATGTACAAAGATATTTAGCCAGTGCCCACAATACCAAAGGTGAAATACCAAAGGTGAACTAAAATACCAAAGGTGCTAAAATACCAAAGGTGAACTCTTCCCCTAAAACTTTGTGTGCTGGGTGCAGAAGATACTACTCTGATGGTGATGATGGGAAAGATAGGATGAAATAATTTGGGGGAGGGGGTGTTTTTGTTATGTTTGGGGTTTTTTTACCCACAGCCATAATTATTGGCTTGCAATGTTACTAGGAAAAGATCTTGGCATTTCCCATCACTTTATAGGGATGTGAGCCAAATACAAAATCGAATTTCTACCAGTTTACAGCTGACTAAGGACAGACAGCTTGCTAGGTTTTAAGAGAATAACTAACTCTGAGCAAAGTTTAGACATTTTCTTTTCCACTTAACAATTACAGGATCCACTACCACTGCAATTAGTTTAAATTAACAAGACATTTAAGTTAAATGGAAATAATCTTTCTTGGGAAACACTAATTTATTTGGAAGAACTATGAGAAAACTAGCAAACCTGATAGTAAAGACTTGCATCCAGATCTGATGATCATTTTGCTTAATTTTAAATGCTTTGTGCAAATGCACTTTATGTCACTATATTCATGAAGGGCTACAAAAGTGTCGCTTCATGGGCGAGTCAGACCGCTCCCAGTACACTGCATACTGGACAGCACAGAAATCACATTATTTATCACTTATCCAAAAAAAGACAAATGTTCTCTATTTTATTTCTATTGTAAGGCTGCTTTGCCATAGCAGCTCTACCTAAATTTCCAGCAGAACCTAGTTAAGTTTGTATTCAGAAGCACTTTTCAGCAATACTTATCTGTACTCAGTTTTTACTGACATAATTCTTGCTCAGGCCAAATACAGGATTAAACAGACAAAAAAACTCAACAAACTCCAAGGGATGTACTTACATTTTTCAGCTTCCTACTATAGTCAACGTTCCTGGTTGCACACACAAACACACACACCAAAAAAAAAAAAAAAAAAAAAAAAAAAAAAAAAAAAAAAAAAAAAAAAGAGAGAGAGAGAGAGAGAAGGGAAAAAAAAATCAGAAAGTAGACACACTTTCCAAGAGCCTAATCACATTTTCCCTAACAAAATCCTGCAGAATGCTTCTGCTGGCTGAAAATACATGAAAGCTAAGAAGATGCAGTTCACACATTCATTTATTCATAACATGGGAGTATTTTGTCACCATTATTTCAATCATTAAATTAGAACTCTGGAAGCACAAAAATAAAATGTGTTTATAATGGTCCCACATTAAAGTAGAACAGTGCCAAAAATATTTCCTTTAAATAGAGTTGCTGATTTCTTACAAAAAGAAGACAAAGGTCCTCACTGCTAAAATACATTTTGCAGTTATCACAGGTTCTGCTCTGTGATAAATCATGCAACCCATACAGATTGTGGAAGCAACTGAACATGCACAGGAGACATCACCAAACATTACGGAAATATTGCAGGAGCTTCTGTGGAAACAAGACTCACAAAGAACAAAGTAGATGGGTGAAGCAACAAAGATCCTGTCACTTAAAACAGAACCTGCTGTGGAAAACATTTATTTTTTGAATGTATACTTGAGTGCTCAGACTGAACATTGGCATCCTTCTCAATTTATTTTTTTTTCTCCAATGTTCCTGAAAGGTTGGAATTTTTATGTTAGAAACAACAAGGCACAAAGTTTGTGCAAACCTGAACATTTCAAATTCAGCAAAGAAAGAACTAAAAAAATTGGAGGAAGTGTATATGACATTTAAGTGCTGAAAAATAAATAAAACTACTTCAGATTTAGTAAAGATTGTCTCCTGATTATTGTCTTCTACTATAACAGTAAGACCACTCCAGCACGAAAGGTTACCTGACAAAACCAAAAGTAAATGTACTTAAATCTGTTAGAACAACAAAAGCCTAAATATAGGCAATGGTAAAACCAAGTATTTTTTGATAACATCTTCTTAAGCCAAAATTTTGTCCACCAATACCCACACACTAAGAAAAATAGAACAGTCCTGTTTTTTTTCTTAATAAAATAACAGTGGAAAAGAGTCTTGTTTAACAAGTCAGGAAGAAATTCTTTACAGCATTAGCTCATAACTTTTATAAGCAGAATGATCCAAAAAACCAGATCTGATGCATACCTCAATTAACACCTATATGAAAAAAAAAGGTTAACATTTCATTATGTTAATCATGTGCAATAATGTCATATTCATCCTCTACCATAAAACAAGTAACATTTTCACCATGTTTAAAAAATAACCCAAAAGTCTACAAAAAGGGGAAAAAAATCACCTTCATGCTTTGGGAACTAGCTAGCAGAAGACATGTCTTCAACATATTTCTCTACAAGAGTCATGGACTTGGCTTGTACAGCTCAACTCAGTTACTCAGCATGATCTTGGCCAGTGCTAGGAAAACATTTGGCTCATTTCCACAGCTGCTTTCTCTGAAATCTTGATGGGGAAAAAAAAGCCATGCCAATGAGATGCTTCACATCTATCTAGCATCATCTTCAGCAGAGGGCCAGGCCAGCTCTGCAGAGTTTATGATGTCAGGTTTAACTTGGTGACATGCTGGACAGCTCTCCTTGGAGCTCCTTCCTAGTCCCAGCATCTCAGCCTGCCTCCATCAAGGTACTCCATCCATCCTCAAACCCAAAAGATCAAGATGTTTATCAGAAAAACCCTTTCTTTCTAATGTCATATGGAGATTAGGGTTTTAAATAGAGATTAGGGATTGCTTTGCAACTCTCTCCAGTCACTCATTGTAATGATTTTATAGGACATCATGAAGAACCTTTTTCATTACAGTATTATCAGATTTAGAAGAAATGTCACATAGCCCCCTCTCACTGGTATGTATAGGCAAGAAAACCTCATATTAGAGTCAGAACCTTGGAAAGGAGTAAAAAATGGGAGACTATTCCTTCAAACAAGGAAAGTGGCCAATTTGATTTTCAGAGCCTTCAAATTTTCCCAGACAATGCTTGAAAACCATAAAAACTTGCCCAGCTTCCATTGCCAGAGAAGAATAAAAAAAAAAGCTGCTGAAATTCAGTAGATTGTTTCCACATACTTTTCTAAAATGGGTATGTCTGACTAGGATTTTATTAGTGATCATTTTGGCTAAATGAAACGAGGCCATTCAATCAACTCAGCATCATTTTCTGCTCTGTAGACCAATAACTTCTGTTATAACTGTAATATTACACATGATAGACCCAAGACTTCCAGGAAAACTTTTAAATAACACCAATCACAAATTTTGTTAATTTTATGAGACTGTGGGGTGCTCTTGCTTTTGGAGGGAGAAGAACTTGTGCAATTTGTGTGGTACTAGGTGTGTGGCTTTGGTAAGAAAGTATCTAAACTGTGGCACTTCCAGTCCGCACAGACATCTTCAGCCCAATTACTGCTTCCCAATCTATAGTTCCTGTAGGGAAATAAACAGACTGTGCTCATGTCTGCACCTCATAGAGTTATAGAGGCCTATATTGCAAAATAGAACACTTTAATCTGAGCTTTGATTTTTTTTTCCCCAGACTACAATAGTTCATTAGTTGGACAGACTAAATTTAGACTCAGGAAAACCCCCAAGTCCCTCAGAATCTCGTCACGTAACTAAAACAGTATTTTCACAGAATCATAGATTATGCTGAGTTGGAAGGGACCCACAAGGATCATCAAGTCCAACTCTTAGCCCTGCACAGGACCATCCTCAAGAGTCACACCATGTGCCCGAGAGTATTGTCCAAACATTGTCCTATTTTAAAGAGCTGTGGTTGATCTCTGTGGGAAAAATAACAGCCCTTAGACAAAACCTGTTGAATGGAACAATCTATTCTTCCCAGCACTGAAGGTTTCCCAAACCTCAGCTCCCTATTTGCTTTATACGAGTGACAGTTCTAAAGCCTTTTTGCTTATCCTTAAATATTTACTATTGCATCACATGCATCTGAGGCTGTAACATGCTAATCACAAACTGCTTTTGTACTTACTTGATGGTTACTCTGTTTGATGTGTCCTGCAGATCACCAGGATCAAAAAGCTGAGATTCCTTAAGTCCCAGCTCTTTGCAGCCTCGTAAGAATAATATGATATTATCCTGAAAAGAGACACAAAAAAAACCCCAACACTTTTAACTCTCCTTCATTTAAAAATATATCTTACCAAACCAACCTCTTTCTAACTCCATATCTGTTTGTGAACAGTCATACCACCAGCTAAATGAAGAACCAAAGACACTTCCAGTCACATAATTTAAGAAGTCAGCATAGATTTTATTTGGAAACCTGATAGATATTAAACTTCTTTCCTTTTCTTTTTATTTTTTCCCCCGAAATATGTAACTACAACAAGCTTATTGACTTGCTTCTTTTCAAACTCAGATGTTGGCAACTTTTTTAACTGAAAAAGCCCTGTAATTTCCCCACCTACTGATGTAGGCTGCCAACACAACCTCAGCATGTTATGGGGTAGAAAAGGCAGGATTTCTGAAGGAACCAGGAAGAGTAGATATGAAACAGCCCACCACCATTTAAGCAAGCAGCTTGTTCAGAAAAGATTTTCCATGTCAATATGAGCAAGCCAGTTAACACAACTGCTCTCTTGCCTCTCCAGCCTTAACCAGTCAGAAGCCACTGAAAAAAGAGTGGCTTCTTCTGAAATAAAAACCTTGAAGCTACACTTAAGGTGACTACTGTCTGTAAGAAGAAACAACACCAACTGTGTAACACTTTTTATGAAGGATTTACACTTTTCAAAGGCTAAAAATTAAAAACCTATAACTAAGAGAGACTAAGCACAAATTGATAAAATCCTCTTTCAAACCAAATGCAAGTGATGACACAGGCTTGTATGCAGACGATTAAATTTGCATGTGCACCTTTACAGTTAATATATGTTTTATACTTACACACATGTATGTACACCACTCCCATTTACAGAACCAGTGAATATTTCTTACATGGATACATCTTGAAGGTCAGTAGAGAACAAGTGTTTAGACATGTATGTTTCTAGATCAGCAACTGCAACGCTAGACGTGTGAAGAAGTAAAGACATAATGTACAGCTTGATATTCTCTGAGGCCTCTCATCTCAAATCTCCAACTAAATTTAAGCTGCCACGTGAAGAGTTACAAAGGAGCAGAACCACAGAGTGTGGCAGAGACCTCCATTTTTGTAAAAGCTAGGAACCAGAGGAGCCTGGGTAGTGTTTAGCTCTTACCCACCCTTCATGACAGAGCAGGATTGGTGAGCAGGGCTCTCTCCACATCTGCTCCCAGGCCTTTGTTTGAGTGGGAGGCCATGGCTCTTCGAGAGCAGCCCTGTTTGTTCTGTTTAGGGACAGCAATCAGAATGCTAATCACTGCAGCTCTCAGCATGCCAACACTCTCACACACAAAGCTTGCCAGCCACACCGTATAAAATAAAGACTTGGAAATTCAGAGGAGTCCAAATCTCCCTTTCTTCCCTGGCTGAAATTTAACAGCTCTGGAGGGGAGCCAGGGGGAAAGGAACAGCAGTTGAGAGAGTAGAGCATCCATAACCCAGGGAGACAGCATCATTCATGACACGAAAAGATGCTTGTAAAATTCTCCATCTGGCTTACTGTTTGCATTATGATTTTTCCAACTGCATTGTGAATAACTCTTGTGTTTGGTCTTTCATGGAGGACAGTTCTGGTCACTTTCAAATGCTGGGTAGATCAATGTGTAAATCTAATAAAAATGCAAAAGCATTCAAAAAAAGTTCCAAACAGTATTGCCAAATTTAACAAAAATATACAGGACATAGAGGACATAGTAACCTAATAGGCTTAGAAAACAACCAAAGGAGGAGGAACGTGGGAGATAACTAATTGCACCCAATCTTTATGCCAAAAGTTCACAACCAAGTTATGATAAGCAGTAACAAAAATACCAGTCCATTTGGCAGCCATGTAGTTTGGAAACTCAGTTCTTCCATTGATGAACAAATGTCCACTTCTCAAAAAAACAGTGTTATCACCCTATGCCTGTTTGCCTACATGCTTTTATTTTGATGGTCATCATAGGAAAAACACTCACCAACAGTCACTAACATCATCACCCAAACAATTCCTCAGAAAGCTAATATCTTGTATGGGCACAAAGAATCACACATAACAACAAGATGCAATCAGTGAGCACAGAAAGAAGTTTTTACTTTTGCTAACAATCTCGTAATTTTTATTTCCCAATGGTACTAAAAATGGCCAGTTGTTTAGACAGATTGAAAAAAACAAAGGCCAACAAAAAAGATATTTTCAGGTGTCGTATTTATTCAAGAACACCTGCCTAGGCTGCCTAAGCCCAAGCCAAAAACGTATCTCATTCTACTGCAAAACTAAACTTTTCCTAGTTTGCTCTAATACAGATGAAATTCGCATGTTAGTACCATTGAGACACTGGAGAAAAGCAGTCATAAGCCACTAAAAGGAGAAAGGAGTCTTAACATTAAGACCCAGCTCCCAGCAAAGCTTTCCCTCAGAATTACTACACTTTGCATTGATCAGGTACTGTCTTCTTCAGTTTTCAAAAAATTTTTTTTACATCTTTTGAGAGGATTTTTTGTTCAGTGTCTGTTAGCTGCAACTATACATGTTTTGTAGTCACCTGAAGTCCTACTTTCTGTCACTGTTGAAGAAACTAAAAAAGAAAAAGATGCCAGGTTTACGAGTAGCAATGTATATGAAACATCCTTACTTTAAATAAGTGACTGAAAAGACACATTTAATGTGCCTGCCCAGCTCCTTATAACTTGACAGAGTTAAATAGGTCATGCAAATGGGTCACGCTGCAATGGCAAGGATCACAGCGTGGCCAGCTGCTGTGCCTCAGCTAACGGGGTGGTATCTTTTACAGTGGTCTCAGAAGACACATGACCAGAATTTGGTCCCTTTGGCAGTCCCTACAAGGCACTAACACACAATTTCATCAATACATTAGATGGAGATGATATTGCCTTTCTCTCAGCTATTACTTGCTGCAACTGTCTCATGCTCATGGTTTTACTCCACGGCATTACAATCAAAAATCTTCTGGCTTTTGTCCTTCATACACACAGAGGAAAAGCAAGTTGACAGGTTACAGTCTAAATTTATTTTGCAAATTTTCTCTATTCTTTTAAAATATAAAATTTTATATCTATAAATATATTTATACAGATCTATAAATTATAGATCTATAATCTACAGATATCTACAGATAGCTATAAAATTTTAACTATGCTTAATTGATAAGATGACAGAAAGTCTAAATAGGCTGCTTACAGAAGACAAATACTTCAGTGTGGTGACAGACACAGGACACAAGCATAGGATACACCAACAGATTAAATCCCAATCCTTTTCTGCTTTCCTCAGCAGAGCCCTGAGAGTTCCTGTTAGATCAGCACTATAAGCAATATCATTTACTTGTCAGTATAGAAAACCAAAAATTATTAATGTAAATGTTTTGCTTTACTGAATTTCAGAAACAAAAAATTAACCAACACACAAAACTACAAACTCTCAGGCAAAGTCAGCCATGAACCAGTAAGAAGGGTCATGGGCAGATAAGGGTGCAGAAAGGAAAAAGGGAAGGGAAAAATGCTCCTGCACTCACAACTTCATTTCAACACCATCACATTTTCATCCTTTCTGGAGTGTAATCGACAGACTTACCTCTACAAAATCACTTTGCCAGGAAAACCACCTGCAGGTAATGCAAAGAGAGTAGGTGGTTTAGGGGGGTTACACCTTCATGGAAGTGCAGGGAGGAAAAAATAATGCACTGCTCACTTGTAATCATTTTTTGTTTGGTTGGTTTTAACCTCTGTATTACAAATATGAAAAAATGTTCATTGTATAGCATTAAGCCATTTTCCTCATGCACAAAGTGGTGCACAAAATCCTGAATCCTGTAAAAAACCCCAGAAATTGGCAGTTGAGCAGGACAGACACCCTGAAAAGTCACTGCAAATTCACACAGTAGCACAGCCAACACACAAGATAGCTCAAGCTAGCGAGAATCAAATATTCACAGCAGGCAAATTCTCTCCATAGGATCTGCTGATCAGATGCAATGGCAAACAGCTTGAATTTGGCCCACTTCCATTCCTTTCATCTGCCACAATAGTATACAAAACATTCTCACTGTATTCACACTGCAAATCGGTCCTACAGCTTATCACTGTGGAGCCATCACTTGTAATGTGCTACTGCATGGCCTGGATGAGATATACAGATAAACCTGGGGAAAATAAAAGCTAGCCTAGCTGTATGTCTGCACGGAACACTGCATAAAACGCCAAATACATGCCACTTCTGTGAGTTGGAGATATTATTAGTTGCCAGTAGCACTGCTCTGTTTTGCAGGACAGCTGCAGACAAACAGGTGGCCTTTTTCATTTCTGGAATGCTGATATTTTCCCTGCTCCAGAATAAATTGGAAGATCTCTTAAAAAAAAATTTCAAACTGCTTTTCTGAGCAATTTCCAATTCAGACTCTTTAAAGCCTTTTGTTTGCTCTCAACATATCTTCCAAATTCTCTTTTTTTTCCATTTTTTGTGAGTAATTAGTGGTGGTAATTTATCTACATAAAAGCAATGGATCTTGTCTGATTCACAGGCTCACAGAAATATTGAAATACTCTGTTCAAGTACACCAGGAAAAAACTTTTTATGAGAAAGGCTGGGAACTTTTTACATATATATATGTGTGTGTGTGTGTGTGTATGTATATATGTGTATATATGTGCGTATACATACATACATATACATATATGCTTTACTGTATATGTTTCACTATATATGTGTTTAACTATACATATATGTTTAACTATATATATATGTTTCACTATATATATGTGTGTATATATGTGCCGTTTACTGTTTATACAATATGCTTCACTGTATATATAATAAAACTTCACGAAACATAAGTTTTCTATGGCAGATTCAAAATCACTAAATTTGGGAGGAACTCGATCGCACCTGGGACACATTCACTTAGAAGCTGAGATGGTTAATCTCCAGAAGAGGAAGGCTGACAGCACACCAGAACTGAAGGCAACTACCCCCCTAGAACAGCAAGGGGAGTCA